AAAACAAGTTTTATTATAAATTATTTATGGTTGATTTTCTTATTTATTTTAAAAAGTTAAGAAAATATTTTGTATCTATTTTGACTTACCTCTCATCGCTAAAAATAAACCATTGACAAGGACATAGAGTATAAATTTAATGAATGAAATCACCCGCTTGTTGATAATCATTTAATGGTATTCTTTTAATAATTTTAAAAAAGTCAAGAAAACAATTTTGTATCTATTTTGTGCTCTACCTCTCCCTAGTTCTCGCCCTAAAAAATTATCAAAGTTAATATAAAGTATAAATTTAATGAATGAAAATAACATACTTAAGATTATTTTTCTTATTGATCATTATGTAATATATATTAGATTAATTTACATTTTTAAGTTGAAAGTAATCATGTTCAAAATATGAAATCACTTATTGTTTTATATTTAAATTCTTAATTTAAAAATTACGGAAGATGATGGATTGAAAAAAAAAATAGCTTAATTCTTTTAAATAAAGATACTAACATAAGTGCACACAAAAGAAATTCATACTTCACTACAAGTATTACATTGTACTTTATTATATACTAAAACATTGTATTTGATTTTTAATATATTATGATCAATCATTTTTTTTTATTAATTTAAATATTGTTCTTACTTTACAATTCAATAAATTACTTTTAATATTTTATTTAAAAAAACATTTATTTTACTTTGACACTTATAATTTAATTTTAATATATTATTTTCATCTTTGGAGGCAAATCACCATTTGTTACATATTAGGAAATTACATTATATTCAATCAAAATTGAAGAAACGAAATATACAAATAACATTAAAAGTAATATATTAAAATATATTATAAATGTATAAATATATTACAATATTTTTTTTTAAAGTAGAGTATTAAAATTATATCAATGAATTGGAAAGTAAGAAAATATTAAAAATTTAAATAAATTATCAAAGAAAAATATATGTAATTATTTTATTTATATAAAATAATAAATACATTACTTAACAAAAATATGCACACAAAAAATCAAATTATTTCAGTTTAAAATATTATTCATTGCTTTAATTATTTTAAGTTGGAGGATCATAGAATAAAGTGTTAAATTAAAAATTTTAATAAATAAATTAAAAGTCAATTTACTTTTATGAGGTGTTTTAAATTAAAAATGACAATAAATAAATCATATTTATTCATTTTTTCAAAATTTGAAAATTATTTAATAGATATATAATATATTTCTTTTATAAATATACATCAATTTGAATTAATGTAACAAAATACTAAATAATTTTAAAAAATTATATTCTTAGTTTATTTATTAAAAATGTTTAATTCAACTGTGAGTTTGTTAAAATTTAATGTTGATAATAAAGTATTTAGTGGAATAGTTATATTAAAAGTTATTCTCTAAATAAGTAAATTCCTCTCCATGTTTTAATATATTCTTCATGTTATTTGTCACATTAATTTTAAATTAACTAGATTTAATGAATGGGAACTAAAGAATAACACTAACAAAATGTAAGGATTTATAAAATAACAATTTTTTTTTACTAGAACCAGAATGAGACAGTCATATCTAATAAACTCAAAATATGTTTAAATCTTAATTGTTTTTATTAATTGAACTTATATTTAATTTAAATGTTTTTAGTATTTTAAATAATAATCTTGAGGGATAAAAGTATAAGATTAATTATTAAGTTAGAATTAGTGATTAAGAATTTTTTTATAAAATATTTTAACTTCAAATTTAAACAACTCGATCAATAAGGTCTTATAGCAGAATATGTAACGATTTGCCTAGCCGTTGCACAACAAACATCACCACACAGAATAGAGTATGCACATAAAAGAGTAATTATATATACATAAGTCTAGCCTGGGGCTCAACAAGTTAGTATTCGAAACTACAAAATAGCTACACCAAGTAGCCCATAAACAAAAAGCCAGCTCCGCTATCACTTGTAGCCCTGCTACTATACTCCAGCCTATCCCTGCTTTGCTCCCATACACAGTATGATCATTGCAGTCCAACCCACATGAAAACATGCAAGGGTAAGCTAGTGAAAAGAATCAACATATAATTAAATTATAAGCAGCTTTCAACTTAACAACACATCATCATTCTCATCAAATTTAACATACAACACATAACAACATACAACTACATCACATCTACACAACACACTGCACACATACAACTCATATCAATCAGCAAATCAACACCACAATAGCTTATGCATCGTCACGTATTTCAGCTTGGAGATCTCATACAATATGGGTGAACAGTTTAAGTGGCTAGGTCCTACCGAACCGACAACAAATAACCTTTTTGGGTTTGCTAGGTAAACAAAAAATTTGGATATCAATCCACAACTTCACGATTTCTCAGACTTTGCCACTTAAACAATGAAGTATAGTACTATGTCAGGATAGAACAACTGGGTTTTAGGCCTACCACGACATTAGCTAGCTTAACTAAGCCACTTATGGAATTAGCCTACCGACTATCCTCCAAACACTACAACCTTCCGATACTCAGCTAGGAACTAAGTTCCCGACTTCGTACTTTACTCGATTGGTCGCTTGTAATCGGTATAGTTCGCCCTGACCCCTATACCGTGGTCGCTTTGTACACGTGTGCCTCGACCTTGCCCACACACGGGACCAACTAAGTACTAGAGGAGAACAGCACAATGACCACTCCAAGGGACAGCTTCCCAATGAGGGTTTTCAACAAATTGGGCTCTAAGGACACCACATTTTCCTCAATCCATACAATGGGATGAGCAACATCGAAAATATCCCCTCTAGTCCTAGTGATCAACAACTCATCATTTAACAACACAACTCAGCTCAACAATCTTAAATAGCATATTCAACATACAACACAACTCAACTTAACATCATTAATCAGCATAAACATCATACATCATTTTCAGAGTTCTAGAATAAAACACCTTTGCACCCGGCGCAATAGAATTTGCGCCCGACCTGGACCCAACCTGAGAGCTCTAAAGCTCTTACACGCCCGACACATTACCAATTGCGCCCGGCGCAATAAGAGGCAGAGACTCCCAGGAGTCTCCCAAACTCGGCGTACAAAACTCGCGCTCGACGCAAGTAAGGCGGAGACCTCACCGAGGTCTCACGCCTGACGTGCTCATTCTACACCCAACGCCACCCCAGGTAGAGACCCTCATGGAGTCTCGACGCCCGGCGCCATGCCAGTACCCCAAAATTTTGAGTCACTATCTGATATCACGCCCAGTGCGGTTCTCCCCATGTCCGGCGTGAGCCATCTAGGGACTTCCATTCCCAACCTCGCCCGGCGCAACCAACCTTGCGCCCGACGTGCTTGAACAATGGAGTTCTTTGATGGACACACGCCTGACGCCAAGAACTACACCTAACACAATTACAAACAACAACCCTCACAACTTCGAAAATTTCAAACAAAACATGCAAATCAACCAGCTCAAACACATGCAGTCCATGAAATGAACCACATTTACATCTTACAACTCAAAAACAAGTTTCATTTCAACATGCAACCACTAAACGCATCAAAATCACCATTTTCCCCAAATTTCCCGAAACCCCGAAAACGAAGAACTCTCCAATCCAACCATCAATCTTCTGGAATCATGCAACATTTGAGTTCCTAAACTCATTTACAACCAATCCGCACGAAAAACTAACTTCCCTTACCTTGGAGAAAAAGAATCCGAGTTCCCGGGGAAGAGGAGAAGGAGAAGGAAGAAGAAACCGATGCTCTCAGCTAGCTCCTGGCCCTTCACTCAGCTCCTACAATCACCAAGTAGCTTGAGAAATTGAATCTAAGAGAAAGATAGGGAGGAGAAATGGGAATGTTGAGAGGGAGAGGCGGAAGAGGAGCGGGTCTCACAGAATAAGAATATATGAATGAAAATTTAAGTTTGTTCTTCATTATTACTATTGTACATACACAAAAAAAATAAATCAAGCATGTGATATTTTAATATTTTAAATTTGGATTGTAATTTACAACTAACCAACCATGTTATGTCAACTTTATTTATTCACGAGAACTAATTTGGTACTAAAAAATTTACGATACCCACATACATGACTCAATCTAGTTAAATTCCATTTACAATGTTGAATTAACTTAAACATTATATTTAGCTCGTAATTAGGTCCTCTCATGTAACATTTATATCCAAGAAATCTCAAACTTTAATTAGAGAGAATATTTTAATAATAAAATAATAAAAATGAAAGAAATAAAATTTTGATGGTAGAGAATTTTAGCAAAGAGAATCCATTCCCTCATAATTATTATCCCCTTCGATCCTTTTTATAAAACTCAAATAAAGAGTATTATTTAGTCTTTTTTTATAAGAATTAATTCAAATGTTATTTTGCATTAATTTTTTTACAATAAATACTTTTAATTAAAATCACTTCTCTAATTCAATAAATAATTGATAGACTAAAAGTAAGAGCGAGTAATGTTTTAATCCTTTTTTAATTGCAAAATTGATATTTTAAAATTTTAAATTGAACTTTCCAGTCAATTATATATTCTTATTTCATAGTTCTTCTCCTATAATAAAATAATTATTTAAAATTAAATTAAATAAAGAGGATAAATAAATTGTATCTTACTTTTACGGGAAGTTAGAATACACAATTCAAAGATGAAGTGCATGACTATTAGTTACTATCAATAATTTTGAAAATCGCAACAATTACAGTTTTCATGTGAAAGTAGTGGAAATTTGTAGTACATGAAGACGAGATATTAAATAAGAATATTTTACTTTTTTTTTTTTTTTTTTGGTACATCTGAATATTTTACTCTAAATATTGATACCAATAACAAATTTAAAAAATAAAATAAAATAATAACAAATTTAAACGAATTAATAATTATTTAGTTTCCCGCCAACGCGAGTTGTCTTCCCCTTACTCTCAGATTTCGCAAATTTGTACTCAGCTCGATCTATATATAAATAAACTCACTCATTCTGAAACCCAAAACCCTAACTTTCTCTCTTCAATGGCGCCTCAGAAAAAATTGACCGAATACGAACGCATGCGACTCGAGAACATTCGGCGCAACGATGAGATGATGGCCGCTCTCAAGCTCCATTCCAAAGCCATTCAACTCAAGCGTCCAAGGTACTCTCTTATTTCGCTTCTCATTCAACTTAACCTAACATTCTTTTTACAATTTCCCTTTCCCAGGGTTTCAACAAAAGCATACAGCGTCAAATCGGAAAACAAACCCAAAATTCAAACCCCAATCGTCATCAGGCGCTCCCTGCGAACGCGAGGTTTAGGTCCCCGCGGAGATTCCGTGGACTCCACCATTTCCACCGAAACCGAACCTTCCCACGAAAGTTTCGGTCCAATTTCCATGGCCGATGCTCGTGAAGGCACTCCCTCGGATGCCTCCTTCGTTCAATCACTCATTGCTATAGCCCAAATGGAAGTCCAAGCCTCACGAGAAAAACTAGGTAGAACCAAAGGTGGGACATTTTTGAACGATGCATGTGTTGGAGAAGGGAAAAAGGAGTCTTCCCTTAGGTTGGAATCTCTGTATTTGGATCCTCAGAATGTTGCACGGGTTGTTCCGGGAAGGATAACTGATGTGCGGTTTTTTCCTTCCGGTAATGTTAAAATGATCGCGGCGGGTAACAACGTTGGGAATGTTGGGTTCTGGAATGTGGGCAAGAGTCAGGTTCATTTGTACCGTCCCCATCATGCTCCCATTTCTGGGATTTTGATTCAACCACATTGCTTGTCCAAGGTTCCATGTTGTGTCTATTTGTCAAGTTTCTTGTATAACTTTTACCCATTACTAGATGGTTGCCTAGAGACTCGAACTAATTAACTGTGCAGCATTGTTAGTAGGAAATTATTTTCTGATACTGGTAAAATATGCACTCTTTTGTCATGTTTTGAAATGCACTTTTTAAATATAGCTTGTTCTTGTTAAATGCATACTATTATTTTGAAGGTAGGGGCATTTGAGGTTAAAGGCAAAATAAAGGAGGAAAGTAAGCTTTGTTTGACAGAAGCAGAATCACCTCTAGCCCCACTTCTATTCAGATCACTGCATATGTTTTATACTTCGCTATACATATATCAGATATGTTTAAGAGTTCGAGTATGAATGTAATTTTAGCAAATTTCAGTGAAGAATTAATTTGTTGCTGCTACATTTATGTTTTACCGTGTATCGTTGTTCAGACACAATTCTTTTTAATTAATTTGTTGCTGCTACTGATTGTGATTCAATGAATCAACATTTCTCCCACTTTATTTTGTCTTCTTTAAAATTTGTCAGTTCGGGTGCAGAATTGTCTGGTCATAATTTTATGTGCAGATGTACACTAGTTGTTATGATGGAATTCTCCGGCTAATGGATGCGGAGAAGGAGATCTTTGATCTGGTATTTGAAAGTGATGAAAGTATATATACTCTCTCTCAACCAACAAATGAGGCAAACTGCCTATATTTTTCTGAGGGTTCTGGAGGTTTGACTATTTGGGATAACAGGATTGGTAAGCGTTCGTCCCACCAGGTTTTGCACAAAAGGAGGATCAACACCATAGATTTCAACTGTGAAAACCCTCGTATTATAGCTACCAGTTCCAGTGATGGAACTGTCTGCACCTGGGATTTGAGATATACTGATGCGGATAAAGTCACCGCCTTGAGGAAATTTACCCACGAAAGGGGTGTGCAATCTGCTTACTTTTCTCCTTCTGGTTGTAGCCTGGCAACTACAAGGTATGGGGTCCATTCTAAAAATTGCTTCTACTTTTTAAAACTCAAAATATGGTATGTTGTGGGTACGCTTACTTATGTAATCTTCTAGTTTTCATTATTCACTATATGTTTAGGAGTCTAGTAATTGTGTAGATGACCTTACCTAGTGGCATAAGGCTTTTGTTGTTGTTGCAAAAATTTTAGAAGCGCATGTTAATTTGATTTCAAAATATTTTTTTATTACCCAACTGTACCGAATCTGGGTTTTACCTAATTGTGATTATGACTGGACTGGTTAATATAATCTCTTGATGCAGCGTGGACGCGACAATTGTTATTTATAGTGGAGTAAACTTGGAGGATGCAGCTGTTATTTATCATAACAAACAGAATAGTACTTTGGTTTCTACTTTCAGGTATGATTTCTAGGGAAGTATCTGAAGGTTGACTCGTTATTCTTATCTTTTGCCGTCTGCTTTTCTTTCCCATCCTGGAAAAATATTTTCAAATCAAAGCTTGGGATCTTAAACTCTTTAGACTTGATTTTTACATTTCAAATAAGTTTCCACTCTTCATAAGTAGAAAGGAATTTATTTCATCGGCATAAGGTGAAACTTGTGTAGTTATAATACGAAATTGTGTTGCCACTGCAAACTTGATACCTTATAAATTGCTTACTTTTGTGGTATCAGAGCGAAATGGGGTTGGGATGATCTGTATCTCTTCGTTGGTAATACGAAAAGAGGTGTTGATGTGGTCTCAGCAGTTGAAAGGAAAACAGTTATGACTCTAGAGAGCCCACACTTGTCTGCCATTCAGAGCAGATTGGATACGCACTCTTACGAGATTGGGATGCTGGCAGGAGCTACAATGGGAGGCCAAGTTTATATTTGGACGTCGCGCTAGGATAAGATGTTTGTTTAACAGTGTTATCAGTAGTGTGTAAACAAACTAATAAGTATCTTGTTCGAGTCTTGTGTAAATCTATTCAACATACATTTTACTTCTTCTCGTTGAACAAGTTTAAAAGACGTATATCGATAACAACCATTCTCAAATGATATTGGTCATTGATAATGGATTTGCATTACCTATTTACTATCATATTTATGTATTGCTACAACAATTTGTCAAGTGTCCTGCCTTCATTAATCTTTATCAATCATCTTATGTGTGGTTGCTTCACAATGTAATTTGTATGGTTTGATTTTTCAACCAATCGATCAAGTCGATTATTTACATTTGATTGAGTAGGTTGAATAAAGACTCTTTGCATTCTAGTACTTGAATTTGGATGGTTTTTAATCGAATGAGCAAGTCAATTATTTGCATATGATTGAGCAGGTCAAACAAAGACTCTTCGCATTTTGGTGCTTGAACTTGAAGAGTTATGTACCATTCGACTTTTTAAGCAAAATGATCGTAATTATTATGTTAGTTATACTAACGAACGTAACATTATTACAACATAATGTTAATTGAGTTTGTAAGATTTATAAATGAGACATTTTTGAGAAAAATAATTTTTGTTTTAGTACAAAATAAAAGAAACATTTAAATAAATGACATAAAAGATTAAGAAAATAATCATAATAAATGAACAATTAAAGTGCATCAAGTGTAACAAAAATTATAGTAAATATCTTTTTTAGTAACCCTTGATTTTAGATGAATAAAATCATATGATAATAATTACTAAAATAATAATAACAATAGTTTATTAATTAAATTACTTCTATCCTTAATTGTGGTTATTTATAGATGACAACAAGATGGGTGGGTATGAGTTTCACTATCCTTATTCTCATTCTCATACCTTATATTTGTCTTTGTCCTTAAACCCTAAATCCTAAACCCTAAACCTCATTGTCATAATAAATGAACAATTAAAGTGCATCAAGTGTAACAAAAATTATAGTAAATGTCTTTTTTAGTAACCCTTGATTTTAGATGAATAAAATCATATGATAATAATTACTAAAATAATAATAACAATAGTTTATTAATTAAATTACTTCTACCCTTAATTGTGGTTATTTATAGATGACAACAAGATGAGTGGGTATGAGTTTCACTATCCTTATCCTCATTCTCATACCCTATATTTGTCTTTGTCCCTATAATCGATAGATATAAAATTTGTAACCTTATTCTTGTCCCTATTTGGTATTAAGTTTTTTCATATTTATATTGTAATCGCTAAAAATTAATTAAATATTTTATTTTTTAAAAATATATAGTTTTTTTTTAATATAGAGTAATGCATATAAAATTACATCAATTAAATTTCATTTGACATAAATTTAAAATGGTATAAAAATTTAATAAATTTCAAGTAAATATTTTAAAAAATAAATTATTTTAAAAAATTTAAAACAAGTATGAAATGGGTAAGTATATACCAATCTTGTTCCTGTATCTGATTTAATAAATTGAGTATTACGCATTCCTAATTTAATAAATTAAATATTATTTATATCCATACATATATTCAATCAAATCAAATATTTTTCATCAAAATAAAACAAATTCAAATATTACCTACATGTATAAATTTATTTTATTATCCATGTGATAATATACTTCCTATTGATTGTTTTGTTATGATATGATTTTAAGTAGAAACTTACCTCTTACCTCTCAATCTTTTTGCTGAGAACAAACTTTTTCTTTTACTTTTTTACAAAGCAATTTATTTTATTACATTGAAATACAATGTCATAAAATTTTAATTTTCATAATGTAATTAGCTACTTGATTATTTTAGATTAAAATTATACGTAAAAGGTAATCTAAATTTTTAAATAATTGAACGATCATTATTCCACACCTCTTCAACTTTTTCTTATTTTAATTAAAATTTCTCATTTTAATTTGTTTTTATTAAATAATTGAGTATTGCTATATAATTACGAAAGTAATTTATCCAAAAACATTCTCAATGTATAAATGCATGATCATCAGGTAATATGATCGACTTTCGTACAACTAAAATTTGTGTCAGACTTTCTTATATAATTTTATTTAATTAAAACTTTCCTTAATATTTTAATCATTACCAATGACGATTAGTTTTATTTTTTTATCAACTAAACTAAAGATTAATTCAACTGAACCAAAAAAAATTTATAACTGTACCAAAAAAAATAATCCTTTAACTCGGAATTAATGATAAATAAATAAACTTAGAAAACCTTTAACTGTACCATAAACTTCAAACCATGATAATTGAATTTTGAAGTGAAATTTGATGTGAATTGCAATTAACAACCAGCCACGGTTGTGTTAAACATTTATTATTTATTATTTACTTTCCCGCCATTGCGGATTCGCGCCAAAACTGTCCTATATATTGAAAAACAAAATATGTAACACAAAACCCTTTCTCTCACATCGGTTCGGAAACCAAATCCCTAACTTTCTCTCTCTTCAATGGCGTCACAGAAACTCACCGAATACGAACGCAAACGTCTCGAGAACATTCGGCGCAACGATGAGATGATGGCCGCGCTCAAACTCCATTCCAAAGCCACTCAACTCTCCAATTTCAAGCGTCAAAGGTACTCTTCTTTCTTCACTCTCTTATTTTCCCCAATGAGAGAGGTTTTTGTAAGACTCTGTTTTTGTTAAATGCCAGGGTTGGAACCAAATCCTACACTGTGAAGCCGGAAAAGAAACAGAAAACGGAAACCCCAATCGTCATAAGGCGCTCCCTGCGAACGAGGGGTATTCCACCGGATTCCAAGGGTCTCGATGGAGACACAGTGGGTTCCGCCGCTCCCGTTGAAACCCAACCTTCCGTTGAAAGTTCCGCTCCTATCTCCATGGCTGATGCTCGTGAAAGCGCTCACTCTGATACCGCCTTCGTTCAATCACTCTTGGGCTTGGCCCAAAAGGAGGCCCAAGAGCTAGGTGGTGCTAAAGGTGGCGGATTTTTAAACAATGCTCCCCTTGGGTTGGAATCTCTGTATTTGGATCCCGAGAACATTGCGCGGGTTGTTCCTGGAAGGATAACCAATGTGCGGGTTTTTCCTTCCACTAGTGTCAAAATGGTTGCGGCGGGTAACAAGTTTGGAAATGTTGGGTTCTGGAATGTGGGAGAAAGTGAGGTTCATTTATACCATCCCCATCGGGCTCCCATTTCTGGGATTTTGATTCAACCACATTGCTATTCCAAGGTATCATGCTGTGTCTCAACTCGCAACAGTTACTGTCTGTTTGTCAATTGGCTTTTGTCAGTTTTACAATTTTACCCTTTACTCGTATCTGAAGACTTTAAAAGTTCAAATTACTCTCTTGTTCCCTTAATTTATTTAATCTGGTTCCTCTATTAGTAAAAAGTCTAATTTGGTCCCTTAATTATCTAAAACGACATAGTGTGGTTCTTTGTGTCCAATTGAAACTAATGATGCTAAATTTAGCTATACATGTCATTTTCATATTGCTCCACATGGATAGAAAGACTCACGTTGCATCCTTTTAGAAAATTAAGGAATAAAATTGGACCCTGTAATGATATTGGGACCAAACTAGCAATTTAGCTGACTCAAAAATTATCCGCGTAATGTTATTAATCATAAATTGTATTCTGATGCTGTTAAAATACGTTCATTTAGCTGTACGGGAAATACAAGTTAACAGTCGTCAGATGCATTCTATCCCTTTGGAGTAGGAGGTAGGTGGCATTTGAGGTTAATGTGGAAGCAAAGAGGAAAGTAAGGTTTATATGTACGTATGTGTGTTCAGGAGTTCGAGGGTGAGTGTAATTTTACAAATTGCAACGAAGTGTCAGCTTCTAGGGCTTGTAATTTTATTTGATTGAAAATATATTACTGTGTGGTGGTTTACCGTGCACCTCAGTCTAGACATAATTTTGGTTGAAATAATTTCTTCCTGTATCTGATTGGTAGATGAATCAATCAATACTCCCCCACTTTATTTTTGTATGCTTTACATTTTGTCAGTTGCAGAATTGTCTGAAGCTGTGATCAATTTTATATGCAGATATACACTAGTTGTTATGATGGAATTCTTCGGCTAATGGATGTGGAGAAGGAGATCTTTGATCTGGTATTTGATAGTGATGAAAGTATATATATTCTCTCTCAACCACCAAATGAGGCAAACTGCCTGTATTTTGGTGAGGGTTCTGGGGGTTTAACTGTTTGGGATAACAGGATGGGAAAACGTTCGTCCCACTGGGTTTTGCACGAGAGTAGGATTAACACAATAGATTTCAAAAGTGAAAACCCTCATATGGTAGCTACTAGTTCCTCTGATGGAACTGCCTGCATCTGGGATTTGAGATATACTGACGCAGATAAACTCACAGCCTTGAGGACATTTACCCACAAAAGATCTGTGCAATCTGCGTACTTCTCTCCTTCTGGATGTAGCCTGGCAACTACAGGGTGCGGAGTTTGTTTCATTCTAAAATTTGCTACTTTTCAGTACTGAAAATATGGTATATTGTGGGTATGGTTACTTGTGTAGCTGTAGCCTTTTATTTTTCATTATTTACTAACTTTAGAAGCGCATGATAATATGATTCCAAAATAATTTTTATTATCTAATCGCATTGAGTCCTTTTTTTTTTTTTTTTTTTTACCTAATTGTGATTTTGACTGGATGGTGCTAATATAATCTCTTGATGCAGCCTGGACAACACAATTCGTATTTACAATGGAGTTAACTTGGAGGATGAAACTGTTATTCATCATAACAATCAAACTGGCAGATGGCTTTCTACTTTCAGGTATAGTTTCTGCCTTTCTGGGGATATATCTGAAGGTTGAGTTGTTATCCATCTTTTTTAGTCACCTTAACCCATCCTGCAAAAGTATTTTCAATTTGAAGCTCGGAATTTTAAACTCCTTAGAGCTGTTTTTCACGTTTCAATTAAGCTTCTACTCTTCACAGGTAGAAAGGAATTTATTTGATCGGCAAAGTGTGTAATTATAATACAAATTTTTGATGCCACTGCAAACTTATTGATACATTGTAAATTGCCAACTTATTATGAAAAAAGCAGTTGACTTTTGTGTGCTTGATTCTGTGGTAGCAGAGCGAAATGGGGTTGGGATGACTCGTATCTCTTCGTTGGAAATATGAAAAGAGGAGTTGATGTGGTCTCAGCAGTTGAGAGGAAAATAGTTATGACTCTAGAGAGCCCACACATGTCTGCCATTCCGTGCAGATTTGATACACACTCTTACGAGGTTGGGATGCTAGTTGGAGCTACAAGTGGAGGCCAGGTTTATGTTTGGACGTCGCGCTAGAATGTTTTTTTTATCTAATATGCACTTCTGTTGTATGTTATAGAATGAAACTTCGATAGTTGCTGATTCCAGACTGTTTTCATGTTAACTATTATCAAATATGCTATTTGACTAGACATGATTTCATCAACTTTGTAGTCTCTTATGAGCATGATTCGTGGATTGTTACTTGTACACTACACCTAATATACTATCAGTACTTACATGCTCAATCTAGAACTGTGCCCTTTTATTGCAATTAGGATTAGGATTCCGATTTATACAGTTGGTTACTGATTAAAACTTGGTTTGCAGAGATTGTGAACTGTTTCTTTCTCCCCTACCCGTTTGTTATCTCGTAAATTATCTATCGTCATTCTCTTTAGCAAGTATAATAGATAAAGTTATTATTGAAGGAGTACACAAGTCTACAATAATTTTACTATAACTAATGTACGAAAGTGCCTCCGTGAATTATTTTTAAAATATTATAAATAATAAAAATTATATACATAATTGGTAATTATTAAAAAATTATAAGAAATAAAAAATTATAATTTATAAAAGGATAATTATAAGCATAAATTATCTAAAAAATGTATATTAAATAGGACAATTTCTAGGATAATTTTACTATAATATAAATAAATAACAACACATTTTGATGACACAAACATGACTTATCTTATTTGCATTCATATTTTTTGTTTCTAAATAAAAATGGACCATTCTTTTTCTTTTAAATGATGAAATTCTTAATTTTGAGGTTTTGGTAACACATGTTTCAATACATTTGGCTTAATTGATATTTTGGTTTTTAAAATGTATTGATATCTTTATTTATTTATATAGAAATAGTATATTCATATTTAAATGATTAATAAAGAATAAGATTTTGACAAGATATCTGTCATACATTAAAATAAATATCGATCTTGCAAGAAATATCAATATTTTTTAATTTTCATTAAACATATACAATTTTTTTGGGACATGAAATATCTTTTTTTTTTTTGTAAATGAGCGATATGATTTATTTGCCTTTGACATTTTTTTGATATTATAAAATATTCTAAACCAAATTTAATACTCATTTTATCTTAAGTATTTTATGCATAAGCTGGTATTAAATAAACATTCTATAATAAATATTAAATATTGTTAAATTATAAACATTTTTCAATATTATTTTATTTCTTAAGTGAATTGACTGTATGAAACAAAAAGTTAATAAACTGTCCATGATAAAAGTGAAAATTAATGATATTGTATTTATAAGTATAATGACCATGTTATAATTTTTCATATTAATACTTTCATTCTAAAATATCGTATATTTATAGAAACTTTATTCTCTACTTATAAATATATTTTTATCTCGTGTTTTTTTTTTATTAATTTTTCTATTTTTGTCAAATTTAATAATATTATTTAATATATGTTATAATTTTAACTAACAGGATTATAGTGCAATATAATTTAACATTAACACCAAAAAATACAAATTTAACATTCTCTGTATACTTGGATCAAGACTTCCCCATATCCATGATATTATACCAACCCATAACAAAATTGTCTTTAATAAAAAAAAAATTATACCCAAAAAAACTCTCTAAAAGGAAGACATTTTATCATCTTTTTATTAATAAAATTTAAACTAGATCAAAATCAGTTTCAATCAACCAATAACTTATTGCAGATGTGTTATTGAATAAATATATGATTGCAGTTTGCCTGATAAAAAAATTGTTTAAGATGACAAGGTTACCGTTAGACATTTTACCTGCTTTTGGAACACATTAGAATCTATAGGATTTGCAATGTGGAAGACAGCTTTAACATCGAACATTACACAGGAAAAAAACCAAAAAAAGATTTTTTTATACATAAACAGAACAATTGAATGCCCTTAAACAGTCTTTTATAGTGCCTCTAAATAAAAAATAGAATTCCTTGGCATTCTGCAAACCACTACCTAATGAGTCGAGGAATAGATGTATCATGCTTTCCTAAATACAACACGCCTTTCTCTCTTGTACTCTATTTCATCTCTCTGGTGCATTATAATAAGAGCTCTTCTCACCTGCAAAACGTAGTTATGTGAATGAATATCAATAATAAAAACATTAGCAAGTCTTGCTGAAAAACTATGATAACATACATTTGTCAACCGAAAACAAAATGCAAAGATAATTGTCTCAATGTGTGACCTAGTTTTGAGCAGTTTTATTGTTCATTCGATAAGAGGGCCTGAAATCTGATTATCTGCCAGACTTGCTATTTTTACTATAAGAATGTGACTCAATGTTGGTAGTCTTAGTATTTTGCCGTTTGTGTGCTTATGATGAAGACATCGGCAAATTCCAATAGACAGATTCGGCATAACAGTTTGAAATGTGCATCTCTCTAAAGTTTGTATCAAGTGGTAACATCAAATTCAGGTATATATTATAATATAATCCTATGAGACCACCCTTTCAGTTAAGTTTATATTTTGCACTTACAATAGATTCATTCATTCCCATTCTGCTGAGGTCATCAATCAGCCTTCTTTCTGATATGTGGTTTCCAATCCCAATTCTTCTCTTTATCTGAGTTTCAGCTTGCTGCTCACACAATGTAAAGTAATCCATCAGGATATGAAGCTAGTTAAAAAAAACAAGATGATCTCACTACAAGATAAACCTTTATCTCATTTGCCATTTCAGGTGTAAGATTTATTTGTTGGTTTATTCCCGACTTCGCTGCATCCATTGTAGACACCGTGAAAAGCCTTACTGCTTCTTGCACATTCTCCTCAGTAGCAATATGAGATCTGGTGCAAGAACCAATCAAAAGTTACATCTTGTCAAAAGGAAAATGCATGAACCATCAAAGGAATAAATAAAAAAAAGGCCACTCAATAAAGAGAAAAGCAGAAGAAAAATGATTAATTCAATAAAATATACTAATTATTTGTGAACCTTTTCTGGATAGATCTTTTAAGAAATGTTTAGGAAAGCCACTTAAGATATTATAGCCTTTTACTATATGAGAACCTTTTCTGGATAAATCTTATCAGAAATGCGTTCTGAATGTTATTGCCCTAAAACTACTAGTCAAATTTGAATGACAACATGCATTATAAGCACCATGATATAGCTTACTAAATTTCTTGCACCGTAGATAGTAGTATTCTATACAGGCACCTAGTGTTCATATTTTTTAAGAAATTACACCAAGAGTTTTGTATAAAAGGTACCAAGTGTAATAAAGAGTAACAGCAATACTTACAGTTTCATCTTTGCAAGTGACTCACTCAACCTAACAATAGCTTCCAGCTGCCTCACAGTAATTGGTATTGCTGCAGCTTCTCCAGATTCATTGGCTTGTTGCCTCATATCCTGTAATTTTTTTTTTCAAAAAATAAAAAAGTGAATTATGTTTTTTAAAGCAGATTTATTACATCAAATCAGCATTCATGGGAAAAATACGGCAAGTTATATTAACAAATGGATATTAATTCAGGAAGCACATTCAAAGAAACAGAAAAGAAGACCAATACAATGTCCTGTACACTAGCATTCATGAGTACCTGTCTGATTTTCACATAATGATTCTGCAATAATGTTGCTGCAGATTCCGATAGACGAGGGTGGCATTCATTTCGGCAATATTGTAAATACCTATTTAGATAACAGCTCAAAGCTTATTCTCTAAAATGGTTGAAAGAACTGCTAAAAAAAAAGTCAATTAGTAAATTCACAGATATTGCATACCTCTTCAGCCAATTATCTTCTTTAGAAGAAGTTCTGCTCTCACCCATTGTTGCACCAGCTGATGCATGGACTTTTATGATATGATTAGCTATTATCTGTAAAAATCAACCAACCAGACTTAAGGACCAATACAAATCAAGCCATATGTAAAATATGTTTCTGCATGGTCTGCAAAACTAATCTTTTACATCACACACACTTGCTGAATGCTAAATATAATAAATAACTGTTACAAAAAAAGAATTCTCGATAACATGTTGGTTTAAATGTTAATTTCATAACACAACTATTTTGACATGACATGGCTTAATAAGACAAGATGCATTCAAAGATACCAAAGTACCAAACAGTCTGTTACCTTGTCTTGGCTGTACATTCTTATGTCCTTCACAATGAAAATTAAATCAAACCTAGAAAGAATAGTTGTCTGCAAATCAATGTTATCCTGTGCAGTCTGGAAAAAATTTCATGACTCTTGTTAGTCCCTTGTAATGACAATAATACTAGAAACTTCAAAAAAGGCATTAGAGGTTATATGGCAGTAGACCTTAAGATCATCATAACGTCCTGATGGAGGGTTGGCAGCAGCAAGAACTGAAGTTCTTGAATTAAGAACAGTTGTTATTCCAGCTTTGGCTATGGATATAGTTTGTTGTTCCATTGCCTCATGAATGGCAACCCTACATCCCATAAACCATATAAATTTTACCATAAACCACCAACAATGATAGATTTACAAAGCTTAAATGTTAGACATTACATACCTATCTTCTGGCCTCATCTTATCAAACTCATCAATGCAGACAACACCTCCATCAGCCAAGACCATAGCTCCTCCTTCAAGATAAAACTCACGCTGAATTGCACAGAACATTAATCAGAGACTTCCCAAGCAAGATGGATGAAGGCCAAATTTATGATTATATCTCAACACGAGGTATAATTAAAATTACTATCTAATACAGACAGTTTAGGAGGGGAAGAATTTACCGTGCTGCTATCTCGGATTACAGAAGCTGTGAGACCAGCAGCTGATGAGCCTTTTCCAGAAGTATAAACAGCTACAGGAGCTGTCTTTTCAACAAACTTCAAAAACTGTAAAAGGTAATTATCAACTCACAAGACAACACAAGTTATATTGGGAATGAGTAAACGGGTCGGCAAAAAATCCTTTCATCATTAGTTTCAAAACTAACCATGAGGCAACTGGAAGTGGCATACAGACAGTTTTTAAGAATTCAATTTCCACAAATTATGTGAAAAAATAGTCCACTGAAAAAATATAGTAGCTAACCTGAGACTTTGCTGTAGATGGATCCCCCAGAAGCAATACATTGATATCACCTCTTAACCTGACTCCATCAGGCAAATTCTGTTTGTCAAGAAATTGGTCATATGATCAGCTGCCATGTACGGATTTTTGTTATTTCCCTAATGAAATAGATGGATACTCAGACAATAGTATACCTTTCTTGACCCCCCAAACAGAAGACAGGCCACAGCCTTTTTGACATCATCATGCCCAAATATAGATGGAGCAATCTTGGAGCAGATATTTTTATATGCATCAGGCTCAGCAGCAAATTTTTTGAATTCTTCTATCTGCAAACAATACCATCATTTGTAGGGGACTATGATATTGAGTGGGACTAATTCAGTCTAGGTTCATAATATGGGGAAAGAAAAGGCACACTGCAACCCATAAGAGTTGGGAAATAATAACTAGTTACTAGTGTGCAATATTTGAAGGAAAAAGGTAAAATACTTAAAACATTGATACTTATGAAGTTACATTGAAGGTAAAGTTTCACAGGAACCACATAACACTTTAAACATTTAGCTAAGATGTTATATTCATGATGACAGGGTATAAAGCAGGGAAGAAGCAGTTTATTTAAAATTGTTACAGGTTTCACCGCTGACCTCATCTTGAGTATATGCAGCCAGACCACGAGACTTGGTCTCATTTGTTTCTTCTATTCCTACAACCCTAATATAAGGCTGTCTAACTGCAACAGCTCCTTTGTGGCTGCATATAACACAATATATTTGAAGTCAGCAGATGAGAGAATGAAAAAAAAAATTAAATATGCAAAAATAAAAATGGTGTTGAATCTCACGATGCAGAAGAGTTAGAAGCCTGGTAGACACTATAAATTCCCATTATTGTCAGTCTTGAGCCAGGCACTACTGTCTGAACCAGTTGACGATCCACAGAGAGAAGCAGGTTTCTAGGAAGCTCTCCAGTTGGAACATCCTTCAATAGTCACAAACGTTGTCAAATATGGTTATAGTTCCTAGTGACTTTAAAATTATTCTTTTAATCAAATTCATATTCATACCTCTGGATTTTCTTGCAGCTTCAAGGTTTGTTGATCCACATATTTACTCTTGTCTGGAACCACAAGCCAAGGATCAAGTGGGCAAGGTTCTTCCCCAGGCTACAAAAACCCTAATCTTGTAAGAGACATCACAAAATGAGGCACACGTCACGCAAAATATAAACAAACAACAAACACCAACTAAACCTGAGGAACATGATCGCAAGACCGAGGAACAATTGCTCCCCCAAGTCCCGGCCGGCACGGAACCTGCTTCCCCTTCTTACAATTCTTACACACCAGAGTAACATAAGTAGCCTTTGCCTTAGTCCTGGATGCAGCAATAGTAATCCCAGAAATTTTAACAAGCTTCGATATATATTGAGCCTGTGAAAAAAAAAAAAAACACCGCTATGACATCCGCTAATTAAATACCAAGAATTCCTAATTACCAACAACAAAACTTACCAAATTGAAACGAAAACTATCACATTCATGAAAACACAAATATCATAATCGAACTCTAAATTAGATCAAACTCACTTACCCCGAGCGATCTCATCGACACCGAATCCTCCTTGGAAGTGAGCAAAATCTGAACATCACCAGGCAATGGATCCTCCATATCTCCAGCGTCCCCAGCCACCTTCGTCTTCAAACTCACGAGAACCTGCGCCGCCGCGGTTTCGAACTGAAAATGCAAAATAAACAAAATGTTATAACCGGAAACGACGATGATTGTAAAGAGTGAGAGTGAGAGAGAGAGAGTACGAGTGGAAGGATATCGGCGTGGGAAGAGCGGGGTTAGGCGGG